GTGTCTGTAATTCAAGGCTTCAGCGGATCAGTTTAGCGAGAACAGACGTATATGTAGAGATGGGCAAGCAAAGCGGTTGAGTTCTCTGTTACGGGTTGACCCTGTCAGCGACCAAGCTAGCTCGCTAGCTAGAACTGGATACTAATCCTATCCATCTGCCCAACATGCCGTTTCTATGTTCATGGTACATCCATGTTCCCAGAAGATGTAAATAAAAAACACAGCGGACAAACACAAAGAGAAGGCCCCAGAGCCACCGACGGAAGCTTGCTGCTCAATAGACAGGCAAACATATAAGAGCTGCACGAACTACAAGCAGCCGATCAACTCACTCCTACTCCATGCAAACAGTGTGCAAACTGATAGCGAGTAGTAAACATCGTCAATGCGACATTGTTAGCTTCCAAAAAAGTGAATTGTGCCACGATTGCTGTTGCTAGTTGGGCGACGACCAACTCGCCGTCTCTCCATAGCACCATTCTATCAGCAGTCCTAAGACTGTACAGCTGATTTACAACAAGCCTTTAAGAAAACGATCAAATGCGAAAAAAGAAAAAGTGTGAAGGTGCGGTTACAAAAAAGCTGTCACGACCATGGCAGAACCTTCATGCCGCCATTGCTTGTCTGTAAGTCAGAAGAGAGCGAATTGATTTGCCGGAGCAATTCGGTACTCTAGCTTTATGAGCTTGCCCCCGTGCCATCTGTCTTTTGATGAGTATGCGGAGACTTGAGAAAGCAACAATAAACAAATTATTGCTTGCAAAACTTGCAGTGTATATTATTGTCCACAAAACCAGATGTCGAATCTAGTGATGAAGATGCTATGGATGTATCACATATCTGTGGCCAAAGCAACCGTTCAACAGTTGAAACAGTTTGCCTGAGTCTTGCCAAAATCACTAACCATGGCATCACGATGTGTACATTGATATTTGACCACTACTCATGCATGGCCTCCATTAAGTCTCATGAGCGGGACAGGCCGCTATCTGCGAAGGCCGCAGCACTCAAACTAAACCTGACACCAAACACGGTTCTGCCCACAAGCGAAGAACTTGTGATGAAAAAGCGATCACAATAAGCAAACAATTACATTGAAATGATATGCCCACGGCCCATGAGCTGCTCCTACCCCATTCATGATTAGCGGCAGAAAACCAGCTGCCTGCTTTGACCATGAAGAAAGCTGATGTGCACCCTTGTGCCAGCTACATGCTGCATTATGATTAGGCAGCCAAAGCCCAAGCAAGAATTATCCAGCATCACCTCGCGATGACACAGATCGTACTTCCCCGTCTGTCGCTTCACTGCTACTCTACTTCGCCGCCCAATATTGAACCAATCTATCAGCTCAAATTACAATGAAGAAGCCTCTCCTCGATGGCCTAAAGCTGATCGATCATAAATGCCCTTCTGCCCCCAAATCTACAAACTTGGTGCAACTGTGTCTGCGCAGCCTCTGTTACCCCCTTGCATGCTGCGCGACCAGGATGCTGACACAGTTCTTATCCTCATCTATCGCCCAAAGGAAAGCGTTGCAGTCTCTCAATGCTATTGTGAAGGGATACAATTCCTAGGCATTGAGACATTATTGGGGATCGTGAACCACAGCTAGATGAATTTGATTGCAGGCCGCGCCCAAAAACTTATACTGTCTTTCTATAGTGGTTGCCAGGCAGGGTATAACTTGAATTCGCTTTACCATATACCAGCTCGTTCAGCACGAAAAACGATACTCTCCTTCTTCTATCAGGTCACTGCCACCAACTGATGGACGCCTTTGCTGCAACATATGAACCGTTGCTCACTGACAGGCTCGTATTTGTTTGCAAGCTGTTTACCGAAGAACAATGGTCCACCCAAACACTAGACTATTTCCACAAACTATGGTTAGCGCACGGAAACTTTCTTGAAGGCCAAACCTCATCCACTTTTGGAAATGCCAATACAGTGTGCACCTCCAGAACTCCTCTCATGAAAGTCTGTTGCCTCGCATGCCTGCTGCTCTCAAACAAGCCCATCCATTACTCGAAGGCCTGCAGGTTGTAAGGATATTGCCGATTGTCCATGCACATCATTTCTGTAAAATGTGAGCGTGATTGATAGAGTGCACAATGAACACACTGCCATAGACATGCTTTCTGTGATCAATCTGAGCATGCATATTAGCCAGTGATAGCTGGACAGTTCAGTCCCTTCGGTGAACTTTCCATAGTCTGATGCATTCACACCTGAATTGAAGGTGCAGATGTGTAAATGTATATATATTAGAACATATTAGAACATGTGAATGTTAGAGATATTATCACTACATAATTGGTGCTAAGACCCAACTATCATTTAAAAGTTTTAGTTATAGAGACCACGTTTGAAATATACATTGTGCTAATAGACAGCGCAATCTACGTGGGCCTTCGCTGATGCCGTTTGTGGCGGCCATTTGGATTCTGGGCTTCTCGATGGTATTATGTTTGTGGCGTGTAAATTGTATAGGATTGTGCATGAGGGTTTAGATGAGCAAAACAATATTAAAATATTTGCAAGATTGAGATACCGAATATTTACAGACAAGTTATCCTGCCAAGTTTAGCGTGCCTACCCCCTTAATTTATAACGCACGTCAGATGGCCGCAAATTATACGATGTTCTATTTTTTGTGATAAAAAAATTGGCCCAAGGGTGCCCACGCAGTGGCCCAACCGCGTGGATTCTGGTTCAGGATAGTTCCTAAAGATCAGGAAACCACAAAAAAAATCGTATGATACCGTTGCTATCGTTCAGTCATTTGGCAACCGGAACTACCTGATGCATAGATTTATATGCATTACATTCCTATCAGTAGCACATCAGCTTAAGAGAAATAAGAGGAAGACCTTGCATGTAAGGTCCCCGCTGCGTATACCAGCCTGTACACAATCTAGCTACGTTAGTGTGTTAGCGAATGCGTAATATCTCACCAGAGGAGTTATATTTTGTGATGAATATGTATTTAATATGGTTTGGGGGTATCTCAGCATAGATTTCCCTAGTAAATTTTTACCAGTAGACATGTGTTTATAATTTGAAGAGCGCCCTAGCCTGTAGGGTACAAAACACCTGCTTTATGCCCTCGCGTCCTTCCCCTGGCATCCGCTGTCCTGCCGCCTTTCCTCTGTCTCCCATTCCCTCTCCCCCCTCAGCAAGCTATATTATGAAGTTTGCCTCAGACGGCACTGCACGGCTTGCATCACCCGCAGCCTTTGCTCTAGAACGGTATCGCCAACGTAGCACTGCCACAGGCCTGTGCAGAGGCAATGATGGCTAGTACGAGAGTAAACATAGTATGAGAAACTGATAACTGAGAATTAAATTTTGAAAGCAAAAGCCAATTTCCATACAGAAATGATTAAAGGTTGCCAAATGTATCCTATGTAGTACTATACTGAAAAGCGTGGCACCAAATGCCCTTTAGCTTTTTTGTTTCCCATTCCATAATCCATATTGGAATTCTTTTACTTCTTCTTCTCTAGTTAAATTATAACAAATGCAAAATTGAAAATTCTTTATTGCAATCCGCAGTGTTGGTCTATAAATTTGATGGATATCTTGATCGCGTTAACAATAATTCCACGTAAATGCCGTTAAAATGCTCATCTACAACACAAAATCTCACCGCGCACACGGAGCGCACTGACACCTTCTCAGACCTTGACTGGGACACGATTAGAAACCCAGTCAACAGCCTCTAACCACTACCAAGCAGTAGCCACGATGATCGCTCCCCCGCGCCAGTGCGCGCACACACTAACGCACTATACATCGCCATTATTCTTAGTTGTTATTACTAGTAGCAGCATCGTCACGACAATAATAGTGATACCCATTGAACATTTTGGTATGGATTACGAATTACTGAAATTTACTCTAATGGGACACTCAACTTAAACAAATAATTTACATAAAAAATAAGTAGATGATATTCCTTGTCTTCCTATGGACGGTAATCATTTTAATTTCAACTGTTAAGTTTAAAATAACTGAAACATTCGACATTTAACAGTTAAAAACTATGAGTACAACACCAAAATATGGTTCTTCTAGTTAAAAAATACATGTAAAGCAGATAGCTCTTTCAGAAAATATTGTGAAATATATGAACAATGGTTAAGTTAGTGGTATATTACTAACAACATTCCTTCAACTAATTAGTTAATCCGAGGTGACTGTCCAGACAAAATCGCCGTCGAAATTGTTACGAATTCATAACAAGTAAACTGCAATCTATTTTTGTAACTTTTTCTAACAAGTAAAAGCAATAACACACATCTCACAAATAAGGTCAAACAATCACAACAAATGTCCACCGTAAAATAACCTTATCAAAAGCTTATAGTATTTCACCTTTGAACATCATTTCAAGTAAACACCTAAGAATTTATTTATGCTATATCCCAAATTTGACTTTTCAATATAAGTGAACGATAACTGAAAACCTGTTTTTGGAAAAATGTGTGGTGTTTGATAAGGATAGCTCCACTGCTTGAGCTAAGACAGGTTGCATAACTGAAGCTAATTTTCACACCATCCAAATGAAGAGCTTGCAAAGAAGGTTATATTCTATAGATCTTGAACTTGTTTGTAACTGTAGAAATTTAAAACTAAAGCATATAACAAAAATAATTATTATATATAATTTAATTAAAACTAATTGCAGCAGAGATAGTTTCTTATTGTGCTGTAAACCTTGAATATTCGGGCAATCTTCAACCTGTCAGTTCATCACATAAATAATATCACAAGTCTTCATTTCTACTTACTTGAGTGTGTAGATGACTGCTAATGTGAAAACAAAGGCCATTTTGGCAAACCACACTAACCAAGCATGGAGGCCATAATTGCCAGAGCCCCCAAATAAAATAACAATTGGGCGTTAATACCTCCCAACACATAAATTGTGGTCGGGCAAGCATGTTAGGTTATAGCTCGTGAGGTTCCGATGTAAAAGGGTGTACTATACCTTTTAACATCACAATCTTTGGTGAAAATCTTGACTGTCTACAAAACACTGGTTACACTTTGAAAAATAAACTATAATACTTAAAACGTCTACAATAAACTTCCATGATATCTCACACTAATATCACTTTACAAAACTAAAAATTATAAATATAGACTTTTAGGCAAACATCTAAAATGCCTGAATGCTAAGTATTGAAATATATACACTTTCAAAATTAATTTGAGTTTCACAAATGCTTTGGTGGAATTTGTTTTCCTATTGTTAACCAGAATCTGCATATACTATTAACAACATGCTAGTTATACTGCAAAGCTTGGAACTCAGAATCTTTCGTGCAGTTTTTCCAACCTCAGTTTTCCACTATCTCTGGCCATGGTACATTTTGTTTCTACAACACACGCGCACACACGCACGCACGCATGCACACACACACATAATTTAATGTCTTACACCAATACTAGAAGTGAGATTACACCCAATCCAAACCATTTCAAATAATGATTGATTCCATACGCTTATCAACACCACAAATGCCTTCATGATGGTCTAGTCAAAATACGACATGTAATTTCTACAGGAGTATTTAGCATGGAGAAATCAAGGTTTCCATGGGGAGATCGCAAGTAAATCCTGAAGCGAAAAACTGGGGAGTGCCACTGAAACTAGATGACTAATACCCATCTGATACAACTCACAATTGTACATTACTTTTAAATACATCTAACAGGGTTTCCAAGGACACATCTCTTCCAACTTCAAAAGTTTTGTGGCCAAATCTTTTTGCAACTTCTATGTTGTCAATATCATCATCCAACAATAAAAGTTCATTTGGGTGCACAATCGCATGACGTTTGTTTGAGATCTCCGTGATGACAGATGCTATATGCTGCTGCTTCCCAAGCAAAGTAGCACCCTGTAAAATTAGAAAGAAATCACGGATTAGTTTTCAGTGACACAGTCTTATTACAACAGCGCAAATGAATTAATTAGGGAAGTTGCTCAAAAACTTGCAGATTTTGATTACCAATCAATCTGCCTACGACATTAATATGTCTACGATTCAATGGCAACTCTGCCTATAGTTTATTTTATTATGAAATAAACCATCACTAACATTTTAGTAGAACCGAATGTCCATAATGAAATCGGGTCTCGATACCCGTTCACAGGTCAACTACAATAGCCTATGGAAATTTATAAGAAACACCAACCTGAACTTGTGCCCAATCCTTGCTGTTTCCTCTAATGATGATCTTGTTGTAATCACTGCAAGGCAACAAACAATTATTGTTATTATTAATTCGTGAACATCATTGCACATGTACATTCATGTATATATCTTCACACAACATTTGTATGAACAAGACTACTGAAGTAAACCTAAACAAGAGCCGCAGAGCGATTGGGCTCATCTGAGGTCTGTTGCTACGGTTTTTTGGTAAACTTTCTTAGATTTTACAGAAATAAAATCAGTGAGATCATCATAGTACCTACACATCTCTGGCAATGTGATATTTGAGCGTGAGGTCAGGGTCTTTTTAACTTAGCCGATCGATCCAGAAATTTATCAACAATTTTTAAGATACCTTATTTGCTTATACCATACACTGACATGGCCATCATGTGTATCCAGTGTATTATTTTGCTGGATATCGAGAGCTCCCTAGTTCATTTAGCTGCGTTGTTAGATCACTGTAGGTGGGGTGGGGGTGGTGATGGGGGGTTCTCGACAGGCAATTCTGGTCGACGACGTAGTGTATAATGTAGATACGTGTATTGTATATATAAGTTACGACATAATTAAGCGCAACCTGCAGTGGCCATGAGAGCGTACTCTCCATTCTCCGTTCTCTGCCTACCTCAATTTAATTTTCTACATTTCTATTAATTTTAATAATTATTATTTATTATTAATTAAATTAAATTTTAATTTTAAATGACGCCACTAATGTCATCTCCTAATGGACTTAGCGTTGTTGGACGCACGGTGTATTTTTTTTAAATCTTGTTGCCGCTCGTATTCCCCTAGCAATCTACATCTCTATGTCGCAATATGGACCTGTACGTGGTTTCACAACACTACATAACAGCACATTTTCCTAGATAATAACTCGACCCTGGGCAATTCGCCAATGACCACGTGATGGTATCAGGAGTGTCATAATATAGACACTCCTTATATCAGACGCTATACTCATGTGACACTCCTGATAGTATTAGGGGTTAATAATGGCAAATGTTATTTGTCATTAATAACCCCTGATAGCATCGACATCCGTCTTGTGGTGACAACTCCCTCGCCGTCCTCTCGCTAGTTATACACCCCTCTGATACCTATGCATGTCACATAGTAATTCGAGCTCACAAAAACTGTGAGTTGAATATAAGCTTTCATTGTCCGTATGTATACATATATTTGCGTCACAAACGACGGCCAAAATGTTCAATTTCGATCCTCTTCCTATTCCGTGTTGACTACGGACCATGCCTACTGTGTGAAGAGCATTATCGCGACATAGCATCCAGTGTTTGGCCGTCGTTTTGTTGTCATGTCGTATGTACGCGCGTACGTATATGTGTGTGTGTACGTTCGCGCGTACGTATGTGTGTGTGTGTGTGTACGTTCGTGCGCGCGTACTTATGTGTGTGTGT